GATTGGCGTTCCATTTTAAATATACAGTTCACCGGGAATAGATTATTTAAATATACACGGACCGGGAAAACAAGTACGAAAAAATTTACTGGCTCCTGGACTAGTACTGTATCGAAGGAATTTTTATGAATGAAACAATATACGACCCTCCACAAATGCGGTCTACTCTACTTCCACTGTTGTCAGACATTATTTTTTTTTGGACAATTTAAAGACCTAACAGTAATTCAAGCAAACGCAATAACATTACTACAGTTGAAAACATCGCAAACTTGGCATCAATATTTTAATTTTATCCAAATATTGCATTTCTGTCGAGGATCATCCGCGTTGACTTCAGAAATTGTGTAATCTGTATTGGTTATATATATCTATAGTTAAAAGCACGTAAACTTGGCATCAATGTTCAATCCAATTATTGAGTTTCTACCGCGGACACCACCGTTCATTCTTCAAAAATTTTGTAAATAATCCTATCTGTCTTGGTTGTATATCTATGGTTGTGCACGATACAATACAAAAAACTACATTATTCACGCATTCATTTGGAGTAACCGTGAATGAACAGTTTCTAAACGTAAAATCCAAATGGAAACATCTTAATCTCGGATCAAAATTAGTCTAAGAGTTTTGTTTAAAATTAATTATTAGATACAAAGTACCTACTATAAGCGAGGGTGAAACCACTAAGGTCAAAACGTATCTGTATTTCGTAAAAAACTCACCTAAAAATTTTTTATGTGATTTCCGTGATTTTGCTGAAAATCCACCTTAATTTTATGCGATGATGCTGCTGCATTTACGTTTTTGAGCAACGAATTGATTTCGAAGTGATAATTTCGACCATGATTTTCGATGATGATTTCGGAATTTTCGAGAAAATTTGTATAGTCCGGGATCCGTAAGTAGTGTCGACCTTCACCCATCTGTTTAATGGATGAAAGTTTTTTTTTATTAAATAAAATATGTATTTAAATATACCGCAAATAGGTTGCCTAGGAAAATACGGTCACGGCCATTTTTTACTTTCCTTTCTGTGTACAGATAAGGAAAGTATAGGAATCATGATAAAAGTTGCTTATGATGTCATTCTCTATGATTTTGTTCCTATACATTATTTCCCTAAAATGGACCCAATTCGAGATATTTGAGGAAAAGTGCAAATTTCGAATTTTGAAGACGGATAAAGAGAAAGACACCAAATTTTAAACTTAAGCTTCAATCCATCTTAAGGTGAGCTGATTAAAGTTTAGGTATAGTCAAAGCATCTGGAGAATACTTTACAGGGTGTCGTTTTTTTTACTTTAAGAAAATAAATAGTCTGGACCGTATTTTCTTAGGCAACCCATTTGCGGTATATTTATAGACACATTTTATTTAATAAAAAGAAACTTTTATCCATTAAACATATGGGTGAAGGTCGACCTTACTTCGGATCTTAGACTAGTAGTGATTTCGGGTGAAAACGTACCAGTATTTTGGCAGTGATTTACTCCTCGACTATAAGTAAACTATATACCTCACTTTAAGAGCTCTTTCACACGAAGATACTATATGCGAGATACGCGTATCCGAGATTCAGGCTGACCATACATTCAAATGGACCTTTTCACACAGTATGGGCGACGCATACAGTATCGCGATACAGAATTTCTGCATCCCGGCACCTTCAGCCGCGGATGCTGAATGCGTATGCCGCATACAGAATTATTATTACAATATATGGACCTTTTCAGACATGTATACTTTTGCATCGGAGATTATATCATAGGCGCAGGATTTTTCAATGGTAGGTAACCTGAGTGGATTTAGTTTAATCGATTAATTTGTATGAGGAAACAAAATTTAAAAAATTATATTTAACGATCAAATTAGATGCACGAAGAGTTTTTTTTAAATTATTTCGCGAATAAAAAATTTGCCTAAACTACAAAATATTAATTTTTCACCGTCTTCTCTACGCATGTTGTATGTCCAGTCTGTTAATATTAAAGTAATGTACTCTTCAGATGCCTTTGCGTCAAACTCGTACATTTTTCTTGATTAAACAACATGAATTGGTTTCAAATTGATTTTTGAGTTTTGACTTTATTAATTGGAACATTGTTTATTATTATCTATCTATTATTATCTATTTGTTTTGTTGGTTTTTTGGGTGTGTCATCGGCTTCAACTACCAGGGTTATTTCGCCTAGTGTTCTGTGTAGGCTTTGTTACTGTTTCCTAGCGCCACTTTAGGAACAGCACTGTTAATTAGAACCCAACAGTGAATGGTCGAGTTGGGAATCATACCAAGGCATCAGAATTAATTTTCAATAAATAAATTAAATAAAAAAAATCCCGGCAAACGGTGGGATTCGAACCCGGGACCCTTGGATCCACAGGCAGAGACTCTACCACTGAGCCACCCACCCCCATTATTATCTTTTATCTACACTATCCGTCGAAAAAACTCAGGTTTTAACCTGAGTGTTTTACATCTGTCAACTTTAATTTTATTGGAAAAATAAAAATGTTGGAGGTTTTTCGACGGATAGTGTAGATAAAAGATAAAAGTTCCAGTCTACTAGAATATTATACGCTTTTTGTAAATAAATTCAATATAAACGTCAGAACTAAATAATTTTAAAAGACATTCTGATTAATTTGTTATACTTTTTATTACTCTTATTACTAAACGCCATAAAGTAGTGATGGAGAATATAGTTTTAGACACAGAAAAATTTATTAGTTTGGTGTAGCCTAATCCCTGTTTATGGGATCCAGGACACACATATTACTTTTTCTTAATATACAATGTCACATATAAAGTGCGCGTCATAGGGGATTGTTCTTTTCTAAATGATGTAGATAAATTTTTACTTTTCCATCATTTTTTGCTTCTGATAATGAATGATATACCACAATATAATACACTCTTCTAGATCCATAATTCAAAAATCTACGCAAGGCACTGCGCCTATTTTAGTACTTATTGAAGAGATGCGTGAATTCGATACAGCAGCCCAACTTTTGGACCACAATTCAGTATCTCGGATACGCGTATCTCGCATACAGTATTCTCGTGTGAAAGAGCTCTAAAGGGCAAGTGAAGAGAAGAAACAAGCTATTTAACTTATATTTATAGTAACGACCGAAACGCCCAAACCACAGAATAAGGGTTACTTATTCTGTGCCCAAACACAAAGAGGTATTTTTTCGAAGAATATAGAAAATACGTTTATTGAACATTAAACTAAATAACATATATTTTAAATGCTTTTTTATAAGACAGTGGTAACATTACTAATTGGTAAAATGTCTACGTATAGGCTACATATATGAAGACTAGAGATTAGAGATAAGGAGGCGAATCGGCATGCTCAAAATACGGTCCCAAAAATCACATGTCAATTGAGCTTTTATAATTAACCGCATGGGCGCTGGTACGGTTTACGTAGTTCAAAATACATGGCTTCTTATGGGAATTATACATAATTTTGTCAAAATAATAAAAATAAACTTGTTTATAGCTAAATAAAGCACAGAACATACTAAGTCTTATATATTTTAATTGATACATTATGTACTATTTATTCCTATTTAAGTAAAATGCAAATTATTGATGATAAGTGTTGAAATTTGATGGGTAGGGCTAATTATTTTTTAATTAAAGCTAAATAGGGCTGAGGGCATACTAAGACACGGTTTAAATGAAAATATTTAGTTAGGGATTTTACAAAATTTTATAAAAATAATAAAAATCAAATTGTTTATTGCTAACTAAAGCAAAGAAAATACTGTTGATTTTAATTATTGTAAATAAGTCTTTGTTTTAATTGCTAACTAAAGTACAGAAAATACTGTTGATATATTAATTATAAATAAGTCTTTATGTTAAACATTATTTACTATTCATTATTTAATTTTATCTAAATAAAATGAAAATTAGGTATGACCAAATTTGAAAAGGTTTGTTAAATGGTGAAATTTGGTAAGTACAGTTTTGTGGTAATTTTGTATTCGATAACTACAATTTCATCATCCTGGTGAATAGTTTCTTCAGCAATAAGTTCTAATATTTTCTCCTTTTTTTTATTTTAACAAATTCAGTTCGGTTCAATGGTGGTTTTCGTCTTTTCCTAATACTGGACAAGTATGAAGGGAGATTCGGTAATATACATGGTATTGGTTCGTTCTTTAATCTCGGTCTTTCCCTTCTTATTTTGTTAACAGTACTAAAAGTTAAAATAGTCTCATCAAATTTTAAAATATCATCTTCTAAAAAGTGTAGCTCGCAAGCAGAATCATAACTAGACAGTACTTTATCAGCCCTAAGAATCACATGCTGCCATTGTTCTAAACGTTTAGGATCATATAAAAAATATTTGCAATGACTAAATTGGAGTTCAATAAAGAAAAATAACAGTAGTAACTCTTCATCTAACATCAAAAAACATAAAAAAAGCAAATTTTCTTTTCTAGTAAGTTAAATTTAATGTGTAATTATGGTTGTTTGTGACTTTATTATTTTTATTATAGAATTTTGTAATTAAATAAACTACACTCCGTAAGATACGGGTTGTGACTATTTTACAATAAATATATATTATTTAGAAATAAATACATTATTTTACTTACACTAGGAGCTTTAAAAAGACTTGGATTTTTATCTCCTTGTGATTTCTTTAATTTTATATCGGATTTTTATCCCGTTTTGCAACCCGGAATGAAGCAAATCCTGCTTTGTCGTTTTTTGTTACTCATTGTTCAGCTTATTTTTATTATTTTCACTAAATTTTACAAAAATCACTTTAATTCCCATTGACTTGCATATGAAAATAGACGCCAACTACAGTACAGTAGTTTTTTCGAACTCCATAAAAATAGGGACGGAAATTTGAAATTTGACCAAGGCCGATTCGCCTCCTTTATCTCTAGTCTTCATACCTAGGCAATGGGTAACTTGCTAATAATAAAAATTATTGCATGATTTTGAATTTTCTTTATTGGTTAGTCTTACTCTATTGCTGATCACTTCTTAAGCATCCGGTACCGTGGTTACACCTTCATTAATTTCAACAATGACATCATGTGGTGGTTTTCCTTCCACAGTACATCCAACTGAGTGCGCACTACCCAAAATTTCCTTAACCGTACCAGTAAGGGTTCTTGCTACCGATCTTGGTCTCATTTCCCTGGCAATATTTATGATATCGTCCAACGATAAATTTCCGCTATGTTTGATATGTTTCTGCTTTTTTCTATCGCGTAAGGGTTCTTTAAGGGCTTTAATTATGAGAGACGCTGCTGAAGGTATGACTGTAATTGTGGCTTGTCGATTTTGGATCTTTAGTTGGACAGTGATTTTCAAACCTTTCCAGTCTAAAAAGTAAAACAAATATTTTGAGAAATTTTAGAATAATTTTGGAAAAAGTGTAGGGAACGATTTCAATTGACCGAATGAAATATAATAAAAAAACTGTAGGTATGTATCCACAACTTTACCTTGTCACTATATTTCTTTAGAAATTAAGATTTATCAACGATTTATATTTTATTCCTTGTAGAAAAGTAGGTAGGGGAAACTGGGGACACTTGATTCTTACGGCAGACATGATACACTAAATTAAAATTCCTTCTTGTCATCAGATTTATGGTTGACTTGGTAACAAGGGAAGTTCAGAATATGTACTCGCCATCCATAGTATTTAGTTCCGTTAGAAACGCTAAAGTGTTAACGTGGTAATTAATCGTGTCTATTTGGTGCTGCGTACTACTTTTTGGTAAGTTGTATATTTGATTTTATATGTTGTTATAGATATATTTTGCTTGTAGACAAATATTTGTTGGAGAGGGTATCTAAATAAATGTACATTTATCTATAAATTACTAAATTTAGACATAAAAGAAAACTTGTAAAGGTATATTTTCTATTATATATGGTAGTGTGGAGACTTGTTACATATACATTATACATATGGAAGACTTGGTCCGGGATCAAGTCTCCCAGATATGCATATTAACTAAATTAAACAAAGAACTATTTTTTTAGGGTTTACGATGCGACGTACAAACAAAACAAAGAAGAATCTAAGAAGAGAAAACCAATTAACAAAGACAAATTAAAAAGAGCGGTACAAGCTGTACTGGGAGGCGAATCTATAAGAGGTACAGCTAGAAACTTTGATGTGCCTAAAATGACCTTAAAACGATACGCAAAGAAACAGAACGAACAAGCAGAAGAAATTAATTATGCACCAAATTACAGACAGTCCCAAGTTTTTACAGATGAACAAGAACTTTTATTGGTTCAGTATTTACAGAAGGCTACTAAACTTCACCACGGACTAACTCCTATAGTTACACGAAAATTAGCGTACGAGTATGCCTATCACAATAATAGAAAACGTCCCCAAAATGGCATCAAAGAGGTATATCTACTTATGATTGGTTTTACGGTTTTACGAGGCGACACAAGTGCCTTTCATTACTTATTCCAGAGGCTACAAGAAGTCTTGGACGCGCAACCAGCTTTAATAAATTTAATGTTTCCAAATTTTTTGACAACCTGCGTAATTTACTTGGTTATTTTAAAATTGGTCCTGAACAAATCTGGAACGTCGATGAAACAAGAATTACGACTGTTCACAAACCTAAAAAAGTTATTGCTTGCCGAGGTAAAAAACAATAACTTTTGAAGAACGTGGAGATTTGGTTACAGTTTGTACTGGGATAAAAGCAATTAGAAATCATATCCCTTCGTATATGATATTCCCTCGAAAAAATTGGCAGCCAACAATGATTGACAATGCACCACCAGGGATATGCGGAGTTACAAATCCTAGTGGAAGGATGATTGCGTCCATTTTTGTTAAGTTTCTCCAACACTTCCAGAAGTTCTCTTAATGTTCCAAAGAAACCCCTTGCTTAATGATATTTGACAACAATGACAGTAACATATCTATAGAATAACTGAACTATGCAAAAGATAACGGTATTCATTTGCTAACTATTTCTCCATACACTTCGCATAAAATGCAACTACTTGACAGGACATTATTTGGCCCTTGTAAAAGCATATTACAATGCTGCATGTGATGACTGGATGACCTCACATTCTGGACGACCATTAACCATATATGACCTGGTTGGCTGTTTAGGAAAAGATTTTCCTAAAGCAATGACACCACAGAATATTCAACATGGTTTTAGTGTTACTCGGATTTCACCATTCAATTCGGATATTTTTACTGAGGATGAATTTTTATCATCATATGTTACAGACCGAAATAATCCTTCTGCCCCTGTAGACGCTAATACGAATAAAGATGATATAATTTTACCTGAAACGGCCCCTACTGAAACTCGCATAGTTGCTGTTTTTCAAGGCACTCAAAACATTTAGAAAGTGTAACTAACTGCTCCCCAATAACCACCTGCAAAACTACTACATTTACTGTGCCTACCAAAAACTTCTACTCTATATCTTTTGCTAATTCCACACCATCTTTAAAAAACTTACCCGCATCTTCAACATCTTTAGTTAACTCCGGTCCATCTTTAAATGACTTGCACCTAATTTCTACGTCCCCGATTAATTCACCTCCATCTTTAAATAAGTTACCTTCTACCTCATTTAAATCAATTTCATCTTTTATAAGTCCATAAGTTTTGAGACCATATCCTAAGTACCAAGATCTTGATAGATACTCCAGAAAAATTACAAATTGAAAATGAAATTAGGTTAAGACAAGAGAAGAAAGAAAAACAACGTAATATTAAAACAAAAAGAGTGAAGAGAAAATTAAAACAATTAGTAGACTCTTTTTCATCAGAGAATGAAGCATCATTACCACCATCATCAGAATCCGATTTTATCATGTCTACCAGTGACTCTTCTAGTGAATCAGAAAATGAAGAAGTCGATTACGAAAATATAGATATTGGAAACTGGGTCATTGTCAATTTTCTTTCTCTGAAAAAGATTATGCGCAAATATGTTGGAAGTATTACAAAAATAACGAAAACCGGTTATGAAATAAGATTTGCAAAAAAATTGATGACAAATATTTTAAGTGGCCTGAGACAGAAGACGTAAGTGATATAACTAAAGATCAAATTATTAAAAAACTTGATAATCCTATATTTAAATCTTCGTCCAGACGCGTCAGTACATTTGAATTTAAAAAATCTTTAAAACATTTTAATATTCAGTAATTTATCTGAATTATTATTTTTAAGAATTTCGACCGATTTATTTGAAAATGAATCTAAATGTTTTTTTTTTAATGTAACTTTGTGTTTGAACTTATTTTATTTTTAAGTTTAACAAATGCATTTTATTTAGAATACGTTCTTCTTTTTTAGGAAAATTCTTGCTATGTTTTTTTAAATAAATAAATAATGATTAGTCTTACATTTTCTTGATATTTTTTATACATTCTCCCTTCTTTTAGTATTGGGAGACATGATCCTGTCAATGGATCAAATCTCCCCCAGTAGGGGTCAGATGGTACAATTTCAATAGAAATGTTTTTAATTAATAACTTCCACATTTATTATCTAAAATTATCTAAAATTATAAATCACTTTCTGACGTAAAGGTAAGTACATTTATGACAACTGATACCATTAAACTCACAGAAAATTTTAAATTAAGAAAAAAATGAGTTGGACATGAAAGGGGTAATCAAGTGTCCCCAGTTTCCCCTACTTACTCACTTTGTAATTTTTTCTACATTCTTCGTGCATTTAAAATTTTAAATTTGTCTGGCTTAGAGTAAAGGTGACAAACAAAAATAGTAACGATACCGTATTACTCAAAAATCTTCTTCCCCTCGTATATTTTGAACAGTTATACTTAGACTAATGAAACTTAGCTATTTAGCAGGAGTAAATTACACTCGACATGGGTATAAGAAATAAGGATTTTAAATCCATTTGAGAGTTGAACGTCCACAGCCGAAACCGGACGTCAAGTATACGTTCGTTTGTGAACATTAATTTGATAGCTGCATATCGATACCTAGTGGACGTCCGTTTTTGGACTTAATTTTACGTTTAGTATTATTTTGAACATTCATTTTAGGTCATTATTTATTTAGCTTACCAGATAATAAGTATACACTTTCTTTTTTAGAACGGTTAAAGGCCTAGAACGTTAACGGACGTGTCGTGAATCCGATTCCCGCTCAGGTTAAGCGTTTTTTAATTTAATAAATAATAATGGTATAAAATTAACAAATCAATTATTAATAATCTAAAATAGTGTGTAGTGGGTTGGCGGTTGTGTAAAAAAAAGATGTGGATATTTTTTGAATGTCCAGTATCCTATCAAAAAAGTTCAATGGACGTCCATTGGCCATTGCTTAACGTTCATTGCGTGGATATGCAATACCGAATATAATCCCTGAAATGGACGTCCTCTGAATGGTCAAAAGTGTGCCATTTGTATACTCCAATGGACGTCCATTGGATATTTGAAATTTAGAAAAAACCTATTTTTGAACGCCCATCCAAAAATGTATACCGAATGGACGTCCAATTGACATATTTGTGCTATCTGGGCAGAGTGTTGACCAAAAACAAATTTGACCAATACAAATTAAAAATAGTACATCAACTTTCAGATGACTTCGATCGAAAACTGGAATTCTGAGAAAATATGTGCAATAAAATTGGCCAACTCAAACTAGGTACCTTCTTCCAAACAATGTAAGGCATTGGAATAAAAAATTGCACGTTTCGTGAAAAACATACAAATATCTTGGCAGGTATTTTGGGAAACCACATAGATGAGTGTGTTTTTTTTAATTCTAACTTAACTGATGAAGTGTATTTAGAGATGTTACAAAACATAAAAACACAATTGAGTCGCTAATTTTTAAAATTTTGGAAGATAATCCAAATTAATTTAGTAACTTAGAAATCGTTCCAAAAAAATGATGCGCCTTTACACTAATATGATGTAGTAAAATGTTATCTAGATGAAGAATGTCGTGGTAGATGGATTGGACGAAGAGGTCTGATATAATCCCATACAGCACATATTATTTCAGAAGTGTTTCTTCAGAAATATTTAAAAGGTTTCTAACATATAACATTTCAAGCACAAGTTTCTAAATATTTCTGAAATATTTTAGTTAAATATTTCACTGAAAATGTTTCTGAAACATAGTATACATGTTACACAAGAGGTTACTAAACGGGTTATATTGTAAAAGGCCAACACTTAATGAAGAATTTCTGATTTGTAAAAAGTTCAAGATGGGATATGTAGTTATTTTGTTTCATCCTAAGTTCAGCCAGACAACCCTATATTCTAAATAATTATAAATTTAAGTTGTCGGTTTTTTGCATTTTCTTTTTTTTTTTTGTTATTTATGCGTTGTGCTGTTGTTATATGGGAAGCAGAATAGGCACAATATGTCTTTAGAAATTGATGCGAGTATTACAATGCTTGTTTAGGTTAGGTTTATTAACTTTATCTCTTCTCTGAGACGAGTGACGCCATTTAGTTTATGAAATTTATGGGCATTTTATAAACTTATTTCTATTTAAATATAACCTACATTTGCTGTCCCTTCACCAGTTTATTAGTTCTACAGCTGATTGAAAAGTGGAGCTTCATGTTTCGTGTAGGCATGAGTATTGTTTGTTTTATTATAGTTAATTTAAAACAATATTAATACACCTATTTAATTACCTATAATTTGTTTCAGATTAGTGCATTTAAAGAAATTGGTGAAAATGAAGCTATTCGCCAGCTTTGGGGCTCTGTGCCAGTAAAAGTAACATCAAAGTTATTCAACGTTTCCAGAATAAAGTATTAAGGAACATCATTGATGCACCCTGGTACTGTCACAATACTGATCTTCATAGGGACCTTAAAGTGAAGACTGTTGAAAATGTAATACAAAAATTTGCCAGTAGTCACCAACAAAGAATGCTCCAACATGGAAACCTTGAGATTATCCAGCTCCTCAACAATGCCAATCTAATAAGAAGACTCAAGAGATTCAAGCCTTTTGAGTTAGTTCAGTGATGTTAAAACAGAGTATAGTCCGGTTAAGTGTTATACGTTAACGGTAATGTAACTAAATAGACTCTAAGGTATACTAGTGAGTAGAATATTAGTTTATGAAGTTTTTCATCCTTTGATAAGTTAAATTAGAATAAAATTGTTAATTAATCTTAATGATCAGATTGTAATAATCGTAAATGTTCCTTTACTTGAGGCATTTATTAAAAAAAAAAAACAAATATTTGTTTCATATTAGTGCATTTTAAGGAATTTGTGAAAATTAAGCGATTCGCCTTTATATATTATGAAATAATGTTTTAAAATTATTTATTTGTTTGTTTAAGAATCAATGTTTGAGTTTTGTGTATTTTAAATAAACGTGTATATTTATAAATCTTTTTTTTAGTCTAATAATAGTTTAGGAAAAAAGCTAGAATACATTTCTAAAATATTACTATTTACTATTTCTAAAAGATTTCAAATTTTTATTTCAGAAATGTTACTGTGAAATATTATATTTACAGGACATTTTTACGTTTCAGGCACATTTCAGATATGTTTCTGGGATGTTTCGTAATATTTATACAACATTACCAATGTTTCAATGTAATATTTTTGAAATATTTCGAAATGTGTTTGTGCTGTATGGTATGGCCTGTTCGATCACCGGCCCACACACCTTTAGATTTCTGTGGGGGTACCTTACATCTAAGTTAACGCTGCAGTTCATCCTGACCGTAGGTATTGACGTTTTAAAACAACGAATTGTTGAAGATTGTATACGGCAAGAGTTTAACACTAGGATGTTTTACTGTCAGGAAGTAATTAAGGACATTTTGAAGAGTTACTATAAGAACTGATTCTTGAATGTTTATTAAATGCGAAATTATAATTTTAGTGTTTATTCATCAAAATTACCCTAAATCCAAAGAAAACTTAGTATGGCTAAATTAATAGGTATTTTAAATAATTTTCAAACGCGATATCACTTGCCATAAGGTCCCATTTAAAGTTATTAATCACAGTGAACGTCATATATGACTATTACGTCGGCTATTACCACCATTTATTTTCACCCTCTAAATTTAATTAGTCTAAGTATAACCGTTTCAGATACACGACTTTTGAGTAGCACTATATGTTACTATGAGTAGCAGGTGAACTATATTTTTGAACACAGAAGTTTTACACAACCGAGGAGCTAGTGCCGAGACCATACAAACTGGGCGAAACAGTTTAAATATTTTCTCTTTTAACGTTTGACTTAAATAAGTCGATTTTCATTTATATATACTTCAGATTGTATAAAACTTGTCCATTCCAGTTCATATTTTCAGTTTTCTTGCATCAATAATCCTATATAAACATCCGTATTCACACAACATCTTTAAATTTACTTACATGTAAATTCTTAAAGATGGAGACGTCAACGTTAAAGAGAAAAAGTAGATCTGGGCGATATTGTGACTTTTCAAACAAACTGTGAACCGCACAAAAGAACATTTATGAAATATATAAGAACATATAAATAATGTGAACTTACCGATATTTTCAAATATCAGTAATTAAATAATAGTCAGTGAAATATCACCCAATTCTATTCTATTAGATATTCATTAAACTTTACCCACGTGTAACTTACAGGTACGTTTACGTGCATTAAGCGAATACTATACTTAAGTCTAAACCTATAAAGTTAATATGTACCTCTAAGTGGTAACTTTTATAGATTAAACGTAAAATATTTTATAAGAAACAATTTTTTAAATCTTCACATCCATATACTTTACCTGCAGTGGCTTTAGCTATGTCATCTCCAACCTTTTTTGGAGATAGGCCAAGTGGACCGATTTTTGGAGCAAGCGATGAAGTGGCTCCTACTTCACCCCCTACACATCGTAATTTCACATATTTTACTTCGCTGGGATCAAATTTGGGCGGCATATTATTTAATTTTTGGTATTACTTAAGAATTGTCAAAATTAAATAGCAACTGTCATTTGAGTTTTCACACTGACGCACTCTTACAAAAACTATTTGGGGTTTATTAATCAAGCAAGCTGATGTTTTATGTATGAATAAAGGTAGCAAGAGCTACAAATAGATGCTGGTCATTATTTGCCACCACTGATCTGTATTATTTTACTGGATAGGATATAGGCTATATTTAACATACTAAAAAATCGTTCCACCAAGGAGACCGGAAGTGCAACAATGTTGGCCGATTTGGGCAAATTATGGTGGGTTCACAGAACTGAAATTTGGGATAATTTGACGTACCTAACCTATAATTTGATTAGTTTTTCTTCTTATTTTTCTTCTATTACTTTTGCGGGCGATGTCCTTCGGGAAATTTCACCCATTATTTGATTTTTTATGAAAGAATATAAAAATGGAAACGTGAAGCATATTGTGTCTTCAGGAATGAACGTTTATTGTTTATTTCATACTCTTTTTACTTTGTTTTCCACAATAAAAACATCTCATCGTAGCTTGTTGACACAATTTAATGACAAATGTGATGACAAATGGAAATAGAGGTTACGTTAAATAACATCCGGTCCGCCATATTATTTGCCCAAATCGGCCAATTTTTCGGAACGTTTTTTAGGGGGCTATATCCTATCCAGTAAAATAATGCAGATCAGTGTTTGCCACACCGTCATGTTGTAAAAATAAGTAGCCAAACGACTAAAATCAGACCTGTATTTCCTTCCCTTAATCAGTGTCTGGAGAAGGGTATTAATATTTTGTAGTTGATACCGAATCTTCTAATAAAATTTTGATTCGATAAAATTGGAGTAGTTTCAAATATTAAGAAAGCTTTCCTTCAGATTGGTCTAGCTACTTCAGATCGAAATTTTTTGAAATGTTTATAGTTTGAAAATACTCATCATGCCAGTCATTTTTGGTGCAACATGCAGTCATTTTATGGTAAGTGAGGTCATCATTTTTAATCCTCAAAATACCCTGACATTAATAAAATTTGATAGTTCTTCTTATTCAAAATCAGTCATCACGAAACTATTAGAAAGTTTTTATGTCGAGAAGTGTTTCAAGCACTGAAGAATTAAAAATGTTCATAAATGAAGCTTCAAATATCTTTTTAGAAGCTCAGATGGAGTTAAGAGGGTGAGAGAATATAAATTTCGAAGAAGATTCTTCTCCTTAAACTAATTCTTGGTTGGGTCTTTGCTGAAATAGGAATCTCAATACACTTGGAATTGATGATTGAATCAAATAACATCAAATTCTGATACAAAAATAAAGATATTGTCTACAGCTCATAAGTTATTTGACCAAATAGGCTTTTTCGTCCCACTTCCTTGTTTCCTAAACTCCCGTTGCAAAAAATTTGGTTTCCGAAAATTGGATGAGAGGTAGAAATTGAAGATGATATTAAAAATATTTATAAACATTGGTTACAGAAATTGACCTTATTGGCGAATTTAAGGATCTCGAGATGGATGTTATCTTGTTCCGAAGCATATAATGCATAGGCAACTTTTAAGAACTGAAACGAATTCTCGGGACATTAATACAATTAGTTCTTGCGAAATAACGTGTCTCAAGTTTAAAAAAGATGATGATTCCTATGGGATCTTTATATGTGGTATATCCCATCAATAAATAAATACGAATTCATGAAAATATAATTTTAAAATAAATTGTATGTCATGACATGTATATATAAAATTGTAAATTCTAAAGTCATAATTATTATAAACAATATTTTGTTTCCCTCGCGATGAGTTCAACCTTTTGTCTTTGCTAGAACTGCCACGAAAGGTTATCTAAATGATGACGGCAATTTAATGTGTATGACGTAATGAAAATGAAAATGAAAAAGATATGTAGTGCAAGTATGTCGCTACATACCTCCCCCTTATATAAAAAATGTATTGTCAGTCATCAAAAGTCGATAAGGTGTTGATTGTTGCATATTTCTATATCTACGAGTGCCTTCACCTTAATCAAAACAAAATTTTAATATGACTCTGTATATGAAATTGATTGAAATTTTTTATTTAATTGTCAAAAATATGTCATCAGTAATGTCAGTATTTTCTATAAATAATGTTGTATTTTAGATCGTGTTCTGGATGAATTATCCATTCTTTGATTATCGAAATTGCCCCGTTGTTAAGTGTTTAGTAATACTATGTTATCTAGCAGGTTCTTTCTATTATATAAAGAATACTGCTATTGATACAATTAAGAATTACCATACTATTAGGACAGTTAGTGTCCTAAATAGAAAAACACCAACGATAAGAAGGCATTAACAGTTAAAAAATTCTACGATCTAATAAAAAATAATGTTAATCATGACGTACAAATAGAAATATTTTTTGTTTTTTTTTTTTAAGTATTTATTCTTTAAATATCAATGTGTAAATGTGCCTATTTGGTAAGTTAAAATTTCCTTTTCATTCAGTTATTTGTTTTTTATCAATGTGCAAAAAAAATGTACCTATTTGATAAGTTATTTGTTTTTATTTAGTAATTACTATTATGCAGACAGGTTCTTCCTTATGCGAAGAATACTGTCAATACAAGATATAAGTAAATACTGATTTTATTGTTCTTTTGGACAATTATGGTCCTTAATAGAGTAAAAAATATTAAATATACTAGTTACATGTAGTTGGACAATTAAGGTCCTTAATAAAAAATGCTAGTTGCATGACTTCGGTTATGTAGTGCTCATTTGCGTTTCGTTAATTTGTACGTTATTTTCTTAATTAAGTCGTCATGATTAGAATTGGTCATTTGTAGAGTTTATTAAATAAATAGTCGGTTAAAATGCTTTTTACATGGTCAAAAATATGAAAATAATGTCAAAAATGATAACTAATGATAGAAAAAATGAATATTTTCAATTCGTGGCAGTCAGCGACAAAAAGATTAAACTCACCGGGTTTAATGTATCTGGAGTCCAATCCACGTATCTTGTTCGGAACTTTTCGGAATTTTCCGGAGGCGTACTGGATCTACATTTCTTCTTAGTAGGACCCTTTAAAGAATCCGGGTTATCGGGAACCGCAGCAGGCTCAAAAAACCGAGGTACGGCCAAAAATAAAGCCGTCGCTAACGCGTACTACCCATAAGTATCTCACCAACAAATAGTATCAGATAGATGTATCCTCAAAATCTTTGAAGGTCGGGCATTCTACGGGGTCACCAATTATGGGATCTTTATATGTGGTATATCCCATCAATAAATAAATACGAATTCATGAAAATATAATTTTAAAATAAATTGTATGTCATGACATGTATATATAAAATTGTAAATTCTAAAGTCATAATTATTATAAACAATATTTTGTTTCCCTCGCGATGAGTTCAACCTTTTGTCTTTGCTAGAACTGCCACGAAAGGTTATCTAAATGATGACGGCAATTTAATGTGTATGACGTAATGAAAATGAAAATGAAAAAGATATGTAGTGCAAGTATGTCGCTACAATTCCTAGATTGAAAGTCAAGAAAAACAACCCCGAAACAAAATTTTAGTGGTGGACCGATTCGACTGTTTTGTCATACATAAAAAGAGATGATTTTTGGAAACAGTATGTATGGAATAGAGTTGTCGAAATTCGTCAACTAACTAATAAAGAATCTAGGTTTTTGTACCTGGAGCTGATAATCCAGCAGACCTTTCTTCTCGTAGATGCTCTCCAAAACATCTTGTCGAGTCCAAATGGTGAGAGGAACCATCATGGTTAAGGGAACCATCTGAATATTGACCTGCACAGAGTTACGATTTTAACTATAATGCAATAAATAAAGAAAAAAGCAAATGTATAATTTCCTCACTTCCATGTTCCGCAGAAGTATCATGAAAGAATATCAAGATTCACGAAAATTGTTAGATTTTTAGCTTGAATTAGAAGATTTTTGTAGAAATAAAGATTCGAAGAAAAAGGTATACTTTCCTTAGAGGAAACCCTTTTCTTAGAAAACCTCATTTTAATTTTTAAAACATTTATTGGTAAGGATGATGCTAACTTTAAAAATCTCTATCCGTTCAAAGATAATGATGATGGTCTTACTAAAGTACCGACAAAGGATTCCAACCGAGAAGATGTTCAGGGATACCGTTATCCAGTTCTCTTACCATCCAAATATTCGGTAGTTAGTAAGCAAGCAAGCTTATTTATGAAGATCATCTAAAACATTTCTATGTAGGTGTTCAAGGATTACTTAGTATGCTCCGAGATGGATAATTAATGAAAAAAAAAAAAACTATTAAATCTTTAGTTTCCAAATGTATAAAATGTAGACGGTTTAACAGTCGATGTATAGAGGTAGTATCAGCTGCACTACCAAAGGATCGAGTAAGATCTGCCATAATATTCGAAATAACAGGGGTTGATTTGGCAGGGCCACTTTTTATCCGATCTAGAGAAAAGGTTTGGATTTGTTTATTTACGTTGGTTGTCCACCGAGCTATATATATGGAATTGGTACTTTCTTTGTCCACTACAGATTTTCTCCAGGCATTACGTCGTTTTATCGCACGGAAAGGAAGACCAACTACAATGGACAGCGACAATTTCGTTGGTTCTGATATTTTTTCAAAATTAGAATGGGCACAAATTGAAACTTACAGCGCGGTTCAAATAATACATTGGAAATGTATCCTCTTCCGGAGCCTGGTGGGAGAGGTTGATCAGGATCGTTAAGGATTTGGTTTTGCAAAGTATTAGGTAAGGCTTTACTCAGCTTTCATAAATTGGCAACAATCATTTGTTAATGCAAAGGCGTTGTAAATTCAAAATCCCTGACCTATATTAGTGAAGACTCTCAAGATTTAAGACCATTAACATTTGCTATGTTCTTATAAGATATTCAAGAGATTTTGTTCCAGATATAGACGCAGCATAGGCCAAGGATTTACAAAGATGGTACAAATATAAAATTAAACTAAAAGAAGATTTATGTAAAAGATTCAGAAATGAGTATCTAGGTCAACTAAAACTATTTTCATATTATGTGAGATAATTAAGAAGGGGGAGAGGAGAAAAAAGAGAATATACAAAGAACAGATTGGCCGTATA